AGCAACTTACCACAAATCTTTTTAAAAATAAATAAAATCAGCAATTTTTTTTTAAAGACACAAAGTTAATAGATAAATGAGTAAATAAATAAGTAAATAAATAAATTTACAAAGATTTTTTAAAAACCCACACTCCCAAGATTGAGGGTTGGGTCTCTTGTGATAGATCTATAGTTTTACCAGCAAGAAATGCCAACTTGTCAAATGGTGGAGGAGTATACAACTGCTTGGTCGTAGAATTTGTTGAGAAAGATCATCTCAGCCTTCTTCTTCTTACCTGTGGGCCAAATGCTCTACCTTTGACGTCATCATGACTTATTTATAGCTCTCTGGGTATTGAACGTATTAAAGCAACCCCGTTACAATATTGGACAATTTTTGACCTTCAGAGCTTTACCAAAGCTCACTTGCCGAGATACCTTGTTCTTTTTGCATTCAAGCGTGAGTTTCTTTACGCAAGAGATACGTGTTTAACTTAGTTTTTATTTTTTGCCTATCTGCCGAATTGTTGTGACAGGTTTTTGATTTTATATATATATAAGTATAATTCTGGCACAATAATGCGACGGTGAAAATTATCCATTGCGGTCACATGACGCAGTTTTGCGCCAGCCCCGAGAAGTCCGTTGCAGTCACTCTCCTGGCTGGGTGACCACATGGGGTATTTTGCTCTGCTGGCTGTGTGACTGCAAAGTGTTAAGTTAGCTTAACTCACTGACTACTGGCCCCTTTCACCAGTCACTAGCGCTGAGTACTGGCATTTTGGGGGTATTTCAAAACACCACCACAACTCTCAGAATGACCCTATTGTAATTATTTTTTTACACAGTAAAGTTACTTTCAAGCTTAATCGATTACTGAACTTAAGTTGTCTTGGACTAATACTTAAATTCTTATGATTGTTTCAAAATTGGCATGAATTTGATTTTTCAAACTATTTCCAGAGACATGACAGATAGAATGAAATTCACAACATCAACAAAAATAAAAGTTCAAAGTGTTCAGTTTTGATTTGTATCCATGTGCAATTTTTTAGTGAAAATATAAAAGCTGGTCTGTGCGTTTATTCAGACCCATACAATGAATTACCTGAGACAGATGTAGGGAACGAAGTTGTGATTTCGTCGTGCAAACAACTACACCAGTACTATTGCTAGATATAGCCCTAGAACTACGACTCGGGCCGTGTTGGGGTACATATCCAGGGTCCTAACTATCCGACACATCATGTCCTGAGTCACTAGAACTAGCAAAACGAATAGGAGTATCGAAAACAGCGAAATTATGTGATTCTTGTTCATGCGACCGTTACTTCGAAGCGACAGTCGGATTACTATCATTTGTATAGAAAAAAAAATAGCGCGAGTTCCGGTCAGGTCAACACCAGATGAGTTGAATGTCCTTCACCTTCAATTACTTAAAAAGTTACCACGATACTTCGGCCAAACTCGGCACAAAACGAAACAAGTGGCAAAACTAGCACTGGAGTCCGTTCCCGTGCATGTGACGGGAGGACAAGATGCGGAACAAAACCGAAAGTCTATCCCGTCGAGGGTACGGGATCCGTACCTGCGAACCGACCACCCGCCCCGTACATGTGGCGGGAATCGTAGTCAGTGAGTCAAGACTTTGCCTGCTAATGGATGCCCATGGCAAATTGCATGTCTAAGAATATAGGATGCAAAAAAAACCTAAAAAACAGACAAGGCGTCTTATTTGATAGATGCTCTTGTTTCAATCCTCAGGTCAACTGAAGAAAGACAAGAGTGGCGAGTCGGGCTGCAGCAACTGCTGTGTGGTACTCTAGTAGCAGGCCTGACATCCCCACCCTCCCACCCACCCCCCACATCCCCACCCTCCCCCCACATACCCCCAGGATGCGCGCGTGTCCATGTCATGTCATGTCATATTCTTATCCCCGAGGAGGTCAGCAGTTGTTCCAGTCGGCCGCATTGTGTGCTCAGTCTCAGTCATTGTCATGGTTACTGTTGTGTCAGAGGAGCTTGACCGCGGCTGATCATGTTCACAAGTTTGTAGGTCACCCACCTCTGACCATCACTTCAGTCGGGCCATTGTCCTTCACAGGCTTGTAGGACTCCTCTGACCTTCGCTTCAGTCGGCCCATCATGGTTCACAGCCTGTAGGGCCATCATCGTTCACAAGCTTGTAGGACGCCTCCGATCTTCGCTTCTGTCGGGCCATCGTCCTTCACGGGTTTGTAGGACACCTCCGACCATCACTTTAGTCGGGCCATCATCGTTCACAAGCTTGTAGATCACCTCCGAACTTCGCTTCAGTCGAGTCTTCGTCGTTCACAGGCTTGTATGTAGGACACCTCCAACCATGGCCTCAGTCGGGCTATCATCATCTACTTGTAGGAAAAGGAGCACTAGGGAGTAACTCAGGACTTCATGTCAACTCTTTTGTTTTCACATCTTGGAAGGAGTCTGAAAAGGGGGATTTTAAAAAATATTGTTTTAAAAATGACTTTGGGATTAAGTTTACCTGCAAGATCTTTGATAGTCTTTGCAGGGCAAAGTGTGTGTGTGTGCTAAGATAAGGCTGCCAATTTTGCAGAAGTTTTTCAGAATTTCTAAATCATAGAATGTCCCAGAAGTTTCTGGTTCCTATCCAGACCAGTGTGTCTCATCTCTGCCTCTGAAGTGTGTGATTGTGCGTCAGTCATCCAATGTGTCTTTTGTCACGCGGCCCGACGCGTACACGTTAGTCCTGCTAGCTCAACGTGTGAGGCACGCTCGCATGCACACGTACTTACACACAATCACACACACAATCACACACACACCACACACTCACACACACACACTCACACCACACACACACACACAAACACACCCCTTAGTGCGAGGAGAAGACCCACTGCTGCTGCGGCAGGTCCCCGAGCCCTGGTGTATATATTTTATCGACTCGACTCGTCCTTCCCTGGAGTAGACACGTAGACACCCTCACTCAACTGTGGACCACCTTCACCCTCTGTTCTGCGCCCCGAGCTGCCTCCGAGAGGACTGTAGGAGCGTGGAAGCTGGGAGAGACTGGATGTAAATTTACGCCTGCCGAACTCTAGATTGAAACTTCAACCCGCACTGCTGGCGATTCATTCTTCTTAACACTTTGCCCCCCCACGGGACGCGGATCGGCGACGGTAAGAAGCCGTACCTTTTCCCCACAGGACGGGGATCAGCGACGGTGTGATGTAACATGTACCGCTCCTGTGTCCTGGTCCATGGGGATAAGTGTTTTTTGCGCGCTGCATGGGTGGAGAGTGTTATGCATGCTTTACCGTAGACTTAAACTTTCCACCCGCTCTTCTGTAAATTTGAACTTGGAGCTTGCTCAGTATTTGATTTGATTCAAGTGTGCTCTGGCTTTGCCGAAATACAAATATTCTCTCTTTTTCTCTCACTCTCTCTCTCTCTCATTATCATGAAATTTAATGCTTTTCTTTTTCCATACACAACAGTATTGTAGTACTGCAGTTTCTAGCTTTTTTTTTTCTTCCTCTCCAATTTGGGATTTGATAATAATTTTTAATTCGCTTTTCCTGTCAGATCATACCTTTAGCTTCCTCATTGCTCTTTCTCCCTCTGCTTACAGACAAATTTAAGGATTTCATGACCTAAATGGTCATTGTGATTGTGATATTTTTATATGGTTGTTGGCTGTAGTCATTTTTTTTTCTCCTTTATTATTGGTACTGGTATGTATGTATATATACTTGCCTATAACATGAGGGGGGGGGGTATACTTTAAAGAATCCACCTATTTTAGTAGGTCATAGGTCATGCATATATAACACGTTGTGAATTTCTGACGTGCAGGAGGGGGACTGAATATGCAGGAAATCAAGTACCAGTCAGGCAGTAAATATTGTGTCTTACCCTAAAGACAACAGGCAAGTTTGATGGAAAGAGAGGCAGAGGGAAAAGATACTGGACAAGATGACAACATGGCTAGGAGCAGCAAGAAAAACAGACAGCATGGCTAGAGCAGCAAGACAGAGTGAAGTGGAGGTCCATGATCGCCCACGCCTGTCGGCAAGGCACCGGAAGATGATGATGATGACCCTAAAGAACTGTTCTTTTCGCATCGAGATTGATTTGATCTGTGAGACTAGAGTGGCAGGAAAGGTAGTCCAAGCAGGATGCTATGATATGTTGATTTGATCTGAGAGACTTGAGTGGCAGGAAAGGTAGTCCAAGCAGGATGCTATGATATGTTGTAGTTGTAGATAGCTGCTCAGCGGAAAATCCATTACTTTCCCTCTGATAGGTCTGATTCTGATTGTACATGATCGCACGTGTGATTTGAGGGGGTATATTTTTGGACCTAATTTTTTTTTTTTTTTTTTCTTCGTGGGGGGAGATCTCTGGTGTTATAGGCAAGTATATATGGTTAGATTGTTAGAACTCTCAACAGAGTTTCAATATAATCAGCAGGATACGTCGTTCATTTTTCTCCCCTCTCTCTATTACTGATTAATTCTGCTTGTAGAGACGTTGAAGTTCTGTCGGAAAGTGAGGCTTGCTCTTGTCGGACAAGACACCCCCCCCCCCCCCCGGCTGTGTCTGTGAAGTGAACACTTTTATAATAATATGTGGATGATGTGCTATCAATAACATGTCGATGATATGCTGCTATCATTGTGGCTTGCCACCTAGTCGTCTTGTTGTAGTATGGTGGGACGTGACCTCTCCGGTTGGGAAATGTTGAAGAAGCAAAATGTGTCTTTAGACTAGTTGTAGTAGAAACATTGAAGATCTCTGTGCTCATGACTCATCTGTGTTTAACATCCTTGTTGTCACGCTCTGTGTTTACGTTGAGTAGGTACGCTCGCTCAGTCAAACCTGTTCATAACGGTCACTCGAGGTCACAGAGGAAAGTGACCGACCGTAATAATAGACAGGTGGCTGCTATGGATAAGGTCTGAATTGTGGTCACTTTGATCGCAGAGGAAAGTCACTGTAATAGACAGGTGGCCACTATGGACAGCATCTGAATTGTGGTCACTTAGATCGCAGAGGAAAGTCACTGTAATAGACAGGTGACCGCTATGGACAGGATCTGAATTGTGGTCACTTACTAGACTTGACGGAAGTCGGCAGATGGTTTAAAATCTGAGACTTGATTTTATCTTTCCATTTCATTTCCATCAAAAATGTGGGGGGTTTTTAATCATAAGAGCTTCTTTGAAGTGATTGGATGTACACACTCAGTCGGAAGATGGGTGGGCAAAAAATGTACGTAGCTAGTGACTGCTCCGGGCAGGTTTTGAGGCCGGGGTTTATCACGAGAATGACTGACCGTGGTCTCAGTGGATAGGGGCTGCTGTGGTCAGGTGGAGAATGTAGGAAGAACGGAAGGGTGTCACGGAGCAGTGGCTGATTATACAAGCGACCGCTACAGACGGGTGACTGCTGAGGCAGGTTTGACTGTATATATAATATTATATGTATATAAAAAATATACTAGTTGGGTATCCGTTCGATGAACGGACCCAAAAGAATCGATCGTCAAGTCATTGTGGAACAGTGCGCACTGCTTGTGAATGGAAGCCTCACTTGTTTAAATTTACAATGGCGTCTCAGAAGACGGATTTTCCCGAGAATAGATCCAAATGAAACTAATGAAAAACTGTAAATTAAACTACAGTGACTTCAGCAGACTCCTTAACATAACTGTGCTCCCTTTAAATGATTCTGAACCCCCGTTATTTTTTTCAAATTGGAAAGTTAAGTGGTTCAGAAGCTTTAGGCGACCAAAGTGACGAACTTTCACAAATATAATATTATATAGAAATGTACAGGCAAAGATGTTGATACCTAAACCCTCACCGGGGACTGTGAGAATAGTTATAATCTTTCAACGCACTATGGCATTGGATGGAAAGAAGGGCGTAAGTGAGTGCGTTGTTCGTTCTATGACAACCACAACGATCTCTACACACGTAGAGTAGAGTAGAGGAAAGGAACAAATGCTGTCACAGCCCTGAGTAGGCCATAATGGACAGGGCTGAAGCAGCCAGCAGCTTGTCACAGCCCTGAGTAGGCCATAATGGACAGGGCTGAAGCAGCCTGCAGCCTGTCACAGCCCTGAGTAGGCCATAATGGACAGGGCTGAAGCAGCCAGCAGCCTGTCACAGCCCTGAGTAGGCCGTAATGGACAGGGCTGAAGCAGCCAGCAGCCTGTCACAGCCCTGAGTAGGCCGTAATGGACAGGGCTGAAGCAGCCAGCAGCCTGTCACAGCCCTGAGTGGGTCGTAATGGACAGGGCTGAAGCAGCCAGCAGCCTAGATGATCTACATTGTGCCAACCCTCCTAGTGTTGAAGACCCATGAAATTGACCGCAAGTTTCATGCTGTGATGTTGCAGCTGATCTAATCGGCCGTAATTTGCGTAGCCATTTCGGTTTCTAGATCTATATATATCCCCTTTTGAAATTGCCCTACATCTCAGCTCCTTGATGAATGAGCTGTACTTCCTATTTACATTCTACTCTCAGAAAATGTGTAGGTTTACGGCCTTTACTTGCTGTGTTTGCCTGTTCTCAAGCATTTTCCAACATGATATGGGGAAATCCTTTACTTTCTTTCCCCTGACACTACGTCAAAGACTAGAATTTGTTAGCCACGCTCAGAGGGTTAGATTGACTGTGGTTCACGACTTCTACAACAAAATGTTGTATTTATATTCCAACAAGTTCTTACTCCCTTTTAAAAAAAAATCTAAAGTTAAAAATGAAATAAAATAAAAGTTGTTGTAACCAGAGAGGAACCCCAGGCGTGAGGGGGGGGAGAGAATGGTGTGTAGTGTACATTAGTTTTGTCTCCG